TTCACCATCATAGGAATGAGCTCTTAAACTCTGAGCTCAATGCTACTGCATCAGGGGAGGGAAAAAGCATGTGAGGGGGTTTCAATCAGAGAAAGACCTCACGTCTGTGATGGTGGAGGTGAGCAGTAATGACTAGGTGTCTTGTGGCAACATCCTGAGAGTATTCCAGTGAGGCTTCATGAAGTACGTAAATGGCCTACACCTACAGCAACGGCATTATCCAACTTTAGTCAGAGCTGCACAACTTGTTTTTATCTACAGATACTCCTTACCTGCATAGGCAGTTTTTTGGTAAAGGTGAATTAACCCTTTAAGGTTTGAAAAGACTGAGGCAGTTTATGGGTTTTGTTGACTGGTGGTCATGGCCTTAAACAATATTTATATATTTTTTCTACAGTTATCCTTTAATTTAACCTCTCTCCATTACTCCCTCACTGTTTATACTCACTTGTCTGTGCTCCTGCGAGATCCTCAAAATGAGCCTACAAACACTTTGCCCTTTTTTACTTTTTCCATGTATTTGCAGAGAAAATACTATTCGTTCCTATAAAGATGCCAGCTATTATGTGTCCTTGCTCTCTTACTGAACTGTTGAAAAGCTTCCTCCTTGTATACCCAGACAGTCTCCTGTGCCTGAAAACATGTTAGAAAGGCAACAATGTTTTTATTTATTACAGGTACTTATATAGCGCCATCAATTTACACAGCGCTTTTACATATATATTGTACATTCACATCAGTCCTTAACCTTCAAAGGGTGTACAATCTAAGGTCACTAACTTACATTCATACATACACACACGGGCCAATTTAGACAGGAGCCAATTAACCTACCAGCATGTCTTTGGAGTGTGGGAGGAAACCAGAGGAAACCCACGCAGACACCGGGAGAACATGCAAACTCCAGGCAGGTGGTGCCATGGTTGGGATTTGAACCAAAGACCCTAGTACTGCCAGGTGGAAGTGCTAACCATTTAGCCACTGTGCTGTCCTAACAATTTCAATGGAATTGAGGCCTGATTGTCCTATAGGGTATAACCTTTCGTTCTATACCCAAAACAGCATTTAAATAAATAGGGGGTTAACATGCATCCCTAGATTTATTTAAAAAAAAATTGAAATTAAATTTGATATTGGCTGCTAATTCTTTGAAAATGTCCCTAGAAGCTACCACATCATTTGACATCTGCTCACTTTTAGTTGTCATGTAACTCTTCTTGCTTCACCACCTCTACCCCAGTTGGAATTTGCTTGCATCACAAAAGACCTTAATCTGTATCTCCCAACAGCAGTCTCTACTATGCACGTACCCAACTTACATTAGAAACCTCTCTGTGGTTACAACCATGCCCTTCCAGCCTCAAATTACTGTTCTTTTATTTTTTAGCAAGGCTGCAGTTATCACCATAACCGGGCCACAAATACTATTTAACAATAATTGTAACTGAACATGAATTCAGAAAATATAGACAGGCAAGTTGTAATTAATTATAAAGTGTGGCAATGTGCACTGGTATTACCTAATGTTATTTAGTAAGACATACCCTACTTACCTGTCTCTTTAGTAAATCTACGACACAGTCTAGCTTGCCATTTTATTCAATACCTTATGTAGAATGTTACCAGAATATCTTGGCATTTATGCTTTATGTGCACACAGAAGTGTGCCTAGCACAAACTCCTGGCTGTGTCAGAGACAAAACTCCCACAGTATTGGTAGTTTCCATAGCAACCCCCAATGTCAAGAGAAACTAAAAAAACTATATACAAACACACACAAACATGCACATACATCTCAATCACATTACGTCCTTACCTCATTTTATGGCACCATATCTTATTTTATTCCTTAAGGGAATTTTAATAGCATCATCTGCTTGGAAGTCTGTTATTTGTAAAGGAAAAAAAAAAACTTTTAAACCTCTAAAGCTAATTAATTTTATGAGATTTGAGGAAACGAATGATAATAATCTAAATGCTGTCTTGCAGTATACAAAAATCATTTTATTAAAACATTTTAACTATATTGCTCTTTCACAATACATTTTGTTTGATAGGCAAACTGATCTATAGAATGATATTTTTAAACTGCATAAAAGAAATGTTATCTAAAAATGTATCAATTAGATAAAACAGCATGATGAATAATTGTACAGTGTTCAGGCAGAGAGCATTGTAAAACATTACCACATATTGATGAGATTGTTTACATACTGTAAAACCTACACTCCATTAATAATCGAAAATTAAACCTTAAGATGCATTCCAGCAGCATAGCCGATCTGCTCAGTACTTCCATTTTCAACCAGGCACCATTCAATTAAATCATGATTCATTTTTATGTGAATGCCAAGACATAAAGATACATTATGGTTCACAGTAGCCAGACAGGTAATAGCTATAACATCAATAGGTTGGCACTCCTCTCTCACCCAGTTTTTTGATTGCATGCTACACATTATACCAGTACATTGCTTTCAAATATTAGGAACTGTATTATCATTGTTATTTTTGTCAACAAGCTGTTGTGTGGATACTAAAAAAAAGCTCTAGTAAACCACTATGGTGGCATTGCTGTGGGCATTTAGACTTATTTCTTGAGATTGTCAACTAATCTATAGTCTTAAAGCTTAACCCCAGCCAACACTTTTAATTTTATTTTAGATAGAGCCGGTAAGGGTTAGAACTCCTGTTAGGACATAGTGACTGCTGCAAAACAAAAATACATATTTAGTAGAGTTAGGAAGGGTTAGAATGGATGATAATGTGTTGATTGCTGTGTGTGCCTTCATATCCCAATGATAACCTTTCCCCAAAATTTCTGTCCTAGTGTCACAGGGACAAGAAACAAAGAAAAACCTCCATAATGGGGTGAAAGACAGAAACACAAATCTGACAGAAATAATAAATACTCATCTGCCCTGCTGCTCCTATCTTGGATCTTTTTTCTCTCAAAGAGCCTGCGGGTAGGTGCAGCGTGCTTCGGCTGCAGAAAACACTCTGGGGTTTATTTACTAAAGCTGGAGAGTCCAAAATCAGACTCCCTTCTGCATAGAAACCAATCAGCTTCCAGGTTTCATTGCCAAAGCTTCATTGAACAAGCTGAGGTTAGAAGCTGATTGGTTTCTATGCAGAAGGGAGTCTGATTTTGGACTCTCCAGCTTTAGTAAATAAACCCCTCTGAGTCTGGTTAACAGCACTTGTATTGCAGAAACAGCTCAAATGTACAGCAACCCAGTGGGAAGGTCCCAAGATGGGAAACATTCACAGTTCTGTGCAACTTGTAATATCGAGCAGGTTCTAATGCACCAGCAGAGACCGTCTCCAAGGATGAAGTGTGGTCTGGCCAATCTGAGGCCAAAGGGAAGGATTCTGTTGCAAGATTGTGTGTCACTAATCTGTTCCTACTCATCTGGAACCTTTCCCTACCTCTACTCACTTCCCCTGACCAGTGGGTGCTCTGTCCCTACACTGCCCACTTGCAAAAATGCGCACTGAATCCTGGGGGCAGGCATTTAAAAAGGCTCAGCTGACCCAAGATTTCTGCAAAGGTCACCTGTACGCAGCATATTCAACCACAATCTCCACCTCAGGGAACCAAGGAAACCATAGAGAAACCAAATTTCTCTTGAGCTGCAGAACCTCTTTGGCCGAGAGATGCAGAACCAGGACTGCACATGCCTACAAGCCAGTCAGGCTGAAGAATGTGTAGTATCCAACACACTTTAGGTAGTGTTGAATGACTGGTTCTCTGCTGCATGCTGTTGTTTCAACCCCCATACTAGCGCTTTAAAAAAAATAATTAAACTTTTCAGGTCCCTCAGGAGATTTGCTGATAATGTGCAAGTATACACATTAAGGCACACTTACCTTTTAAAGTGCCTGAGTCCAGCAGTGCAAAATTGGCAATTTATTTCTTCCATCTTCTTCCCCTCCTTTTCCATCTTAATTGGCTGAGCCAGGTTGATGCAACTTTGGTGCATGTGCATGAGTGTTAATTTTTACCAGCACCAGGCTTTTATTACCGTTGTTGCTGTCAGTGTACATATCAAAAAACTGCTAGCAAGCAGAGGGAAATATTTTATGGCAGAGAGACATACAGAGTTTCTTCTACCTTAAATACCTATCTGCTAGAAGATTGCAAGTTTAGATCCGTTTTATAAGATCTGAGGTAAAAGATCTAAGGAAGGTGCAGTGGGACAGGCAAGTATTACTAAGCTTCTTTTGTAGGAGTTTATCTATTTATTTATTTATTTTTAAAACTTCACTCTATTGTGGGGATTTTCCCTCATTTTCCATATCTGCAACCCTAGGACAACAATAGACACACAGGCAACAGACAACAATAAAAACATTGTGTGTTTGATGTGGAACATTCTTCAGCTTCTGAAGCTTTTCAAGAAAGTGAAGATCTGAGAAACAGACAAGAGGGCAGGAAAGTATTATAACTTGTTTCTACTTTTTCAAAAGTGAAAATAATAAAACACATTTGGCTGAAGTTATGCTTTCTAGTCCTGGCATTTTCAGTGCTTGCTTGTCTAATCCTCAGTTAGTTAAGGGTCTGAAATTTTCGATGGCCATGTCTCATTATAAGTCTTCACATATGCCTAGTGCAGGCAGTTGAAGAGCAGGCTACCGTGTCTGATAGTGCTCATATGGGACTGTAAACAGCAATGTATGGGAATAAAAAATACAAGCACACCAAAACAGTGGAGTGTAATAGGCCACAGCCTCTTTATTATTGGTATAAATATATATTTTTTTTAGATAACATTAACCGCTTCTCGACCGCCCTATAGCAGAAATACTGCTACAGGGCAGCCCATGATTTTGCATATCTGGGTAGGGGGTGCATGAGGCGCACTGTTTGTGGCCACGACTGTCAAATACCGGGTCCTGGCAGGTGATTACTTGCCAGTGCCCAATGATTATCGAGGATCTCCGACGGGGAGGAGAACTGTTTTGTTTACTAACACTTTACTAACAGTTCTCCTTGTCAGCTCACAACAGTCATCCAAAGCAGTGTGCTTACAGTGAAGCACACGGACACATCCAGCACACAGTTAACCCTTTGATCGGCCCTCATGCTAACCCCTTCCTGCCCGGTGATATTAGTACAGCGTCAGTGCTTTTTTTTAGCACTGATCACTGTATTGGTGTCATTGGGGATGTCAGTGACACCAAGTCAGTTCCCCCCAGTGCCAGAATGTCCTCTGCAGTACTTCCATAAGTCGCTGATCGCCGCCATTACTAGTAAAAATAAAAAAAAAAATTTAAAATCCCAGTATATATACCTCCATTTGTAAACGCTATAACTTTCACGTAAACCAATTAATTTACACGTATTGGGATTTTTTTTTTTAGCAAAGACATGTAGCAGAATACATTTTGGCTTATGTTTATGATGAAATTAGATTTTTAAAATTTTTTTACTGGACATGTTTAATAGCAAAAAGTCAAAAATATTGTTTTTTTCTCAAAGTTGTCAGTCTTTTTTTTTTTATAGCGCAAAAAATAAAAAAAAACCGCACAGGGGATCAAATACCACTGAAAGAAAGCTAAATTAGTGGGAAAAAAGGACGTAAATTTCATTTGGGTGCAGCATTGCATGACCGGACAATTGTCAGTTAAAGTAATGCAGCGCCGTACTGCAAAAAATGGCCTGGTCAGGAAGGGGGGTAAATCCTCAGGATAGCAAGTGGTTAACAATAACAATTATCAAATAAATAATTAATACCATCAAAGCAATAACATCCCATCCACTACAACCCAGATTGCAATGCTACTGAAAATATTTAAAGATATCATACCCCCAAAAGCCAGATTTGACTAACAAACCTGGCCCAACCACCCAACCACCCTATGCTAGCCCTATGTTAGAGAGATGAACACCATCATCTCTGTAAAGTCTTACCACCTCTCCTTCCAGATTCACATGCCTAAACGAAAGACCCACAATAGCAGGTAGAAATTTTGCAGTGGCCCTATTTATTCTTCTTTCTGACATTCTCAAAAGGGAAATTAAATCAGACTAGCCTAGGGATGATCTCTGAAAAAGCTAACACTGTATTTGGAAAGGACATCCGAAAATGATGGAGATCATTCTTACTCTTAAAAATTAGATCCAATGTTTTGATTTGTCCCAAATCATTTCCCCCTAAATGTATAACTAAAATGTCAGGTGCCAGTCAAGACTGGAACAACATATTAAAATCTGAAAATAAATCCCGGCAACGCTTTCCTCTCCTACCATGCCAGCAATTGTTAGCCAAAGACAGGTCAAAATTCAAGCTTTCTGTATAAAATCTTCGTAAAGTTCTCCTTTCAGCCCAAAATACGGAGGAATGTCTGACAATCCAGACAGATAAGAACTGACCTGAAATGAAAGTAAAATGTTAGGATGGATGTATAATTTATAAGTATCAGACTTTCATCTCCCAATCCTCTTAATACTACTGCCATCAAGACCTAATCTTGCAGCTTTGGTAGCAGCCCCTATGCACAAGAAATGTGAAGTTAAATGTTTGTCCTTCAAATTGAAATATGTTAGACATTTATGAAAGACTGCATTACATTGGTATTTTGTTAAAGCTGAACCATCTTTGTGAAGAACAATTAGCTTGCCCAAATGAGGCCTCACTTTTAAGTAACAGTCATTAGACAAACAGGGCAGACCAGAGAGTCGGGTAAAGAATTCAATTGGAACCAATTACCGGAAGCAAATTGATCTGTCTTTGACCTGGGAAGAAAGATCCTAATTTTTGATTGTTCCATAGTAACATGTGTAACATAAATGCCAGCTTGAGGATTCTTGTTGGGAGGGATTAATTCAGAGATTCTAAAGGCTCTAAAGAAAAGTAACAAAAAGGCCGTCCTAAATAAAATGTCATCATAAAGCGAAAAACAGACTACCTTACTGGGATTGTAAAGAACTCTAAGAAGGGCAGGCATAACTGCCATCCTAGCGCCTGTGTGAAAGTAATCTTTTTTGTACCCCTTTAGAGCTTGTCTATTGGAGAATGGTCAAACTAAGATTGACATTTATGAAAGACTGCCAGCATAGAAAGAGCTAAGGATCTCCTAATACTAGCACAGATCAGGTTTAAACTAGATCCCACATGTACGGTTGACATTGGATTCCTATCTTGTCCGCAGCTGGAAACAGGGACCTGAATCTGCTCATCTGCAAGCAAGAAAGAGAATCTACAATCTCTTTCTGTTTACCTGGTAAATAATGAGTTTTCACCCACATGTTAAGACTAAGACATTTGAAAACTAGCTGCCTTATTAGAGCTATAATGGGAAGAGACTTAGATGCTAAAGAGTTATAATATTTAATAATACACCCTTGTTATCAGTGCTGAAAAGGATACATTAGTTCCTAAAATGTTCGCCCCAAATTTCAATGGCTACCAGTATGGGGAATAACTCTAACAGCACTATGTTTTTTAAGAAACCTCTGATATGCCAAGATGGGGGCCATAATAATGCATACCAATGGGTCTTCCAAATTGCTGAAAAACCAATTGATCCTGCTGTATCTGTAAATAAAAGGAAATCATCATCACAAACAAAAATTTCTTGAAAAATAGCTCTGCCATTAAAATTCTCTAAAAATTGGGACCACATTAATAAATCTTCCTTTAACTCTGTTGTTATTCTAATATGTGCAGATGGAGGTTTAAGACCAGAAATGGGTTGATAAAATTGTCTGGAAAAGATATGGCCTACAGGTAATATCCTAGATGCAAATGCTAAAAGGCCTAGAAGACTTTGCATGTCTAAAGTATTTTTTTTCTACATCTAACCAAAATAGCTATACTATTTCCAAGTTTGTTAACTTTTTTATAGGCAAACTAAACTCCATAGCAATTGTGTCTATAGAGAAACCTAAAAAAATTATACTGGTTTTAGATAAATAGTTTTCTCCGGAGCCAAAGGAATGTTAAAATCTGAACAAAATTCTAAAAATGAGTCCAGCATTCATTGACAATCATGAAAGGAGCTGCTTAAAAAAAGAAAATCATCTAAATAATGCAGCAAAGAAGACGAAACTGAGCATATTTGTACTACCCATTCCAAGAATGTGGAAAAAGTCTAAAACTAATTATTAATTAATTTTTTGCTGAAAAAATTCAAAGTAGAAGCCTAATGAGTTAAAAAAATAAGGGGTTAATAGGTAAAAGCCTAAAAGCCGATTTTATGTCGGATTTCGCTGAAAAGATACCATAGCCTGCATCCCCAATTTTTTGTAAAGCGTCATCAAAAGTAGAAAAATGAACTATCTGATCATTTAAGGAGCTTCCTTTGGGGAAAGACAAGTGATGAATAAGCCTATATAAATTGGGCTCTTTTTTGGAATTATCCCTAATGGAGAAATCCAAACATTAGGAAATGAAGGATAAATAAAAGGACCCAACACTGACTTTAGAATATCTTCTATGGTCCTGAGCCCTGAAAGGGAAGGAGTAGGAAACCTTTATTAAAGCCATTAAACAGCAACTTAGCTGTTTGTTCGTCTTTGTACTGCTGAAACCACAGTAGCATTTTTTGTAAGCTCACTGGGGTGAGATCTTTTTTGGAAAAAATTCCTTGTTCTGCTGTTGATTGGTGATTGCCATTTTCTTAAAACATTTTGAAATGGGATCCTGCACAAAATATGCATTCATGCCTGTAGTGACATGACCCAGGACATTTACATTGGAAATCATTGAATGTAAAACATATTCCTTTTTTTGTAATTTGAAGTGATGGGTGCTGTGGAGGCTTGTTTAGCCATAGTGGATCATTGAGGCAGAAAAAGGTTGAGCCACGAGCCAATGTGCTAGCAACCCCATTTCAAATTAGGTTGAACAGCCACTTTCTGCTTGAATGACTCATTATAGAGAATTTATATTCCTCCAAAATTTTTGTAGGTTTCTAATATAATATCCAGGTGTTGGAATAAACCAACACTTTTACTAGGATGTTTTCCGTAGAGTATGTTCACATATATGCAGAAAGCCTGCAACCAATTATGAAAAATTGCGGGCAACAGGTCTGTGTCTGTCTTCAGATTCCTCTTATTTCTTCTCCCCTGTCAATAACAATTATTTGGAGGAAGGAAGAAGAGATAACAAATCTACAAAATCCCCAATACAGATTTTTTTCTTTAATACCTGACGATAAGTGAAAGCCTAATGGAGATAGATCACAAAGCATTGTTTCTTTTAGAGATATTTCAGGAATATTAGACAAAATCCTGTGAGGTTCAGGAGAAAACACTCTGTTAGGTGATAAGACTGCTCCTGTTCCATCTACAGTGGTATTACCTGATGAGCAGATGGCAGAAGGAATGCAACTGTTAGGAGGAACAGAAGGAGTCCAAACAGCCGCAGCAGTGTTAGAAATAGGTGGATTAAGTATAGTAGCATTAACTTTAAAGATGTCAACAAAGGAAGTTAATGAAGCAGATAGGGAACTAAGCAATAAAAGTTGAGAAGACTCATCGTTCCTTTGTGGAGTTGGTTGAACAGGAGCAGGAGAGCACACAACCAGAATATGCTGTATCTCTAATGCTGTTGAAATGCTGTCTAAAGGAGGTTCTTCTCCTATCTGCCCTGCCTCCTGTGGGTAGCTGGGCTGAGTGCTAAAGATCTGTGCAGGCTGTCACCACTGAGGTTATCTGTTGCCAGGGTCCGAGCCTGTGAGGCTGAGGTGTTCTGTTGCCTTGGGGACTGAGCCGCTGATGTCATCCCGGTAGACGTGACTTGCCTTCTGATCCTGGAATGAGCTGAGCCACCTTCTGAGGTCGAAGCTCTACTCCTCCAAGTCACTCTTGCAGCCTATCATGGGGAGAGGCTGAGGTGTGCTGGCTGGGTGGAGAAGGTGAGTACGTGAGATGCTTGGTCCGCGTCCTCTTTGCCCGATGCCCACCCTCTTGATGACCTCCTGTCGACTTCTTCCTCTTCCTGTACCGTGATGATGGCACTTCCTCTATGGCTGTCTGCTGGATCTTTGGCACTCTGTGAGGCAGAAGCTGCATCAGTGGATGGCTGGTGAGCAGTTGAGGTGACAGCGAGCTGTCCCGACCTAGGAAAAGGAAAGACATCTTCTCATCTATTACTCACCATCTTCATCCCCGGCTCTCTCAATCAGGAGACACATTGGGCTATTCATGTCCTTAAGAAACTCTGCTGGCAGCTCTTGTATTATAGTCCAGTATTATGCCTCTGGAGCTAGCCAGGCAGG